AAAAAAAAAAAAGAAGAAGAAGGAATGTGAAAATACGCTCTCCTGGGAAACCAGGAGAGGTCAATTCCAGTCCCAGTTCCAGCCCTCCCTATACATATAACTTTGAGGAAGCCACCATAAGGAACAAAGTTCATTTCAGAGAAAACACTTTAACACTACTGCCCAAGTGTGTGAGGATTTTTAGTGAGAAAGCTCAATGAACTTGCATTACCACTGGGCCACTGGGACTTGGCTTCCAGGTCCCAAACAAAGACCTCTTTTTCTAGAATCTGTTTGGAAAATAAAAAATCCATGAATAGTTAAGTCATCAGAAGTGACACTTTTCTAAGATACAAACTGTTCTTTCCTTGAAAAGCTTCAAGACATTTACACTCAAATCAAAAATGAGTGCCCTGTACCATTTTCTTTCAGTGTTCAGAGATGGCTGGGCTGAGTGTTTCTCTCCATAAAATCAGATCCACTTTAGAGAACACCAGTCCTTCTAGAAGGCCTACTGTGAGGAACCACAGTTTGGCTCAGTGGGGTGTAGCTCTATTTAAAGAGAAAGTGACAGTTGGCCATTCTGTCCTTAGTTCACTGCCTGCCAAGTGACCACGAGTTGTACCCACCAGAGCTGCTCTGTCTGAGAGCGCGTAGACTCCCAGTCTGAAGTCACACTGGGATGTTAGCATGCACAGATGGTCAAATGAGGATTAAATGTGATAATGGATGTCAAGCTCTTTTAAAACCATAAAATATGCCACAAATGTCTGAGATTACTATGATGACAAACTCAGGACCGGTTTTACATGGAGAGAAAGTAGGCAGCTTGCCCACATTCCTCTAGGCCCTGGAATACCAGCATCATTAGAGCACAAGGAATTGAAATTCTTTATATTTTAAGTCTCGTATCCAATTATGGAATTAACTGTCATTTGAAGTATGTTGACTATAACATAAGTTTACACACACATACCAGGTTCTTTCAAGAAAGCAAGTTTTAATGGGTGGAGATCTCTGGACATTTAGTCATGGGTGAAGAGGAAGTACAGAGAGGAAGAAAAATAATATTGTAAGGCAATGGGAAGAAAAACAGATTAAAGAGAAGGTGGGACCATCTCACGAAATAGCATAATTATAAAGCAGGGTGACAAGTGTCCATTTGCAATTCCATGAGGAATGAGATGACAATGACCAGTGGACTTTTTGCTCCCTCTAGAAGAGAGAAATAAAATGATCGAGAAAAATGTGCCAAAGTCACTCCATCCCTCGTACCCTTACGCATCTGACAGGGGCAAAGTCTCACATGTGGTTTTGCCTGACTCTGAAACCCCAAAATATTGGGGTGGTTCTAAGCAAAAATGTGTTTCCAGCAAATCATCATGGGTCGGTTGAGGCCTTCATCATTGTTCCTGAATAATTACCATGAAAAGGTTTGTAAAAGACATTCAGCCTGTTATGGTCGTGTGAGTACTGACCAGGTTCCATCCAGATCCTAGGTCCATTGAGCTACTTGGAGTTTGACAGAAATCACAGCTGAAACCCTCCTGAATTTCTTGAAGATGTGGCATCACTACTCATTGGAAGGAGGAAAAAAAGGAACTGACAGCCCTTTCTAAACATACAACATTAATTTCCCTACTCGATCTAAATTCAGCCAAAAACCTAAACAGCTTAAAGCACTCTCACACTAAGTGAAATTTCAAATCATAAATGAAAGAAGAGTTTATTGCCTGAGGAGCTGTCACCAGCCACAGCCTTGCTAACAAAATTCACCTCCACCTACAGGGACTGCTGTCAAGAAACTTCTCCAGACCGATGCTTGTGAGTGTCCCCCGATAGCCTCACTTTATCTCTTCCATGTCCTTGGGTTTTCCAGAGACGAACAGGACAATGGGACCTTGGGTGCCCACCACCAAGCCCACTGGCTGGAGTGCAACCCGTTCTGCAGTGGAACCACCTGCCAAGGGCTGGGCAGTGGTCAGCAGACCCGAGAGGGAGGCCAGTTGCCAACAGCAGGCTCCACTCCACAACGGCCTCTGATGGGCCTCCACACAGCAAAATGGGGCAGCACTTGCCAGCAATTAAGAAATAATGGCATGGCACTGGTGCATTTGGCAGAACAGGATCTTCTCTGGGTCACCTGACTGCCTATTTTGTAGGGAATATGGCCTATAAGATGGGACACACACTCACTCACAGCCCAGCGGGGAGTTATTGTGTTCAGACAGGACACCTGGTTCCAGGTACTGAGCAGCCTCCAGTTTCTCCGAGCCTCATTACGGGGAATAACCGGTTCCATATCAAACAGAGAAAGGTGCCACCTTCCCTCCCCCAAAGCTGTTTCCCTGGGAGTTCGGTGACAGGCCACGTGAAGGAGCAGTGCCTCTGAATGAGAGACTGAGAAGTAATCACAAGGGAAACAACACAGACTCCAACATTTGTTTTCTTTCCAATCCCCTTGTAAACTAGAACATGAGGAAAATTCCTTTATGTTTTTATCTCTGGAGAGCAACTTTTTTCCTGAATTCAACCAAGCCCGTTCTCCTCCTGAATTTGAGAATGCCTTGTTCTGAATTCTCCCCACTCCCACCCACCTCCCCCCGGCACGTGGTCTGCTCCTCCATGTCACCTGGTCTCTGCTTGCCTAGGACACTCTCTACCCCTGGACTGCCACGTCCCGAGGGCACAAGGCAGGACTCCTTCACTTATACCCACGGGGGGTTAGGGAGGTCAGGTAGCATGCTGATCACATAGCAGGGAGTCAGGAGATACTGACTGAAGAAGTGAGTGGAGCACATAAAAAGTGGACATTGTTGAAATGGGAGCTAAGATTACATTGATATTTGGACCCTGGGGGTCCAACAGATGCTTCCTTCTGGTGACCAGCGGTAAACAATGTGTTTGCTCTGAAGTGAGGCCCCGGGGAGGTTTGTACCCAGCACCCCCTTGTCCAGGCCTTTGGATTACAGCAGGACATGTGTGCGTGTGTGTGTGGGGGGGTGCATGTGTGTGTGCGCACATGCGTGTGTGTGCACATGTATGTGTGTGCGTGTGTGTGCACGTGCATGTGTGGGGTGTGTGTGCATGTGCATGCATGTGTGCGTGTGTGTGCACGCATGCGTGTGTGGAGGGGCATGTGTGTGTGCACATGCGTGTGGGGGCATATGTGTGTGCACATGCGTGTGTGCACGTGCATGTGGGGGCATGTGTGTGCATGTGCATGTGTGTGTGGGTGTGTGGGTGTGCATGCACGTGGGGGCATGTGTGTGTGCACATGCATATGTGTGTGCATGTGGGGGCGTGTGTGTGCAGTGCATGCGTGTGTGTGCACATGCATGTGGGGGCGTGTGTGTCCATGTGCATGTGTGTATGTGTGCATGCGTGGGGGCGTGTGCGCACATGCATATGTGTGCACATGCATGTGGGGGCATGTGTGCACTGCGTGTGTGTGGGTGTGCACATACATGTGGGTGTGTGTGCGCATGCATGTGGGGGGGGGCATGTGCATGTGTGTGTGGGCATGTGTGTGCACGTGCAGCTGTACAATGAGAGGAAAGAGACCGGGTGCACCTGTGCATCTCTGAGCCTGGGACAGGCTCAGGCTCTCGCTGTCTTACCTTGTTGTGATACTGCAGCATCTGAGTGATGATTCTTATCTTCGGATGGTAGTTTTTTATGGAGATTACTCTGAAAAAGAAAGAGCCAAAGCTGAGGCAGGGTCTGCCTTACTCTTGAAGTCTGATGGGAACATGAATTTGCACCCAAACAGAGTGAATGTGGGACCAGCAGCCAGGCCCATCAAGAGGGCTTGCGGGCACAGGACCAAGTTAAACTGTGTCCATCACTGTACCCCATGGCATGAAAAAGAAATCCATAGAACGGCCACAGACTGTGCCCTGGGCAGAGAAGAAGAGAGCAGTCCTGTGGTGCTTGGTGTCGGCGTGTGAACCCGCGTGTACTGGGGTGGGGGCTCCTGAGCAGGGGTCACAGGCTTACTGCCTACATAGACATGTAAATAAGGCAAGCTTCACCCACGGGGTGAGGGAGGTTTGCCATCTCACATACCCTAGGGACGAGCCTAGAAACAATTTGCCCTGAGTCCAATTCTCCAAGTGAACAACTTGAGACAACAATGACAAATCAAACAAGCAGCCTGACAAATGATACTAATTGTCACACACACATGGCCACTCACAGAAATTATTTCTGAGCAGGGCTCTTATGATGGGATCAATGACTCAGCCTTCGATAGATAATAGTGTCTAAATGATGACTTTAATGCTGGTTGGAAATAAAAACCAAGGCCTGGCGGGGGCCACAGTCTGGTAGAAAATTCCACTCTCCCCCCAACGCCACGCCCTGGGAAACTGCCCTCAGTCTACACTCCGTATGAACCACTGCCCTCCCCCACCCCACCCCTCACTTCTGCTCCCTGAGACAGTCACTGGGCTGTAAGTGGAGGAATAGAAACACCTGGATTCCAGTTCCAGTCTTGTACCAAGGAACTGGGTGACCTTCAGGAAATCCCTGGGCTCTTTGTGACTGTTTCCTCATCTGGACATTGGGGGCAATGGTACCTGCTTTATTTATTTCACAGGCTTTGGTATGAGCAGCAAATGAAAGACCAGATGTGGAAATGCTTTGAAATCATTAAAAGCTCTCTCCACATGTAAGTTATGGTTTTTGTCATTACCGACTCTGTCAGAGGTGACATTGCACATTTCCTTCTGTGACAAAGAAAGCTAAAGAATGGAATTCCACAGAATGGCCCACCTCCTAAGCCTAATCAGAAATGCAAGTGCGTTTATTAGGACCACCCCCACAAACTTTGCACCAAGAACCGTCTCCATGCTTCATCCCTTTTTTTGTGCAAAAATGGAGAGAAGGCAGTCAGGGAGCAGTTTTTTTTTTTTAAATTGAACATTTTTTTTTAAGGTTTTATTTATTTATTTGAGAGAGAGAGAATGAGATAGAGAGACTATGAGAGGGGGGAGGATCAGAGGGAGAAACAGACTCCCCGCTGAGCAGGGAGCCTGATGCGGGACTCGATCACGGGACTCCAGGATCATGACCTGAGCCGAAGGCAGTTGCTTAACCAACTGAGCCACGCAGGCGCCCCAGAGAGCAGTTTTGTCTGAAAAGCTGCAACTTGTGAATTTAGGAAATAGATCGCACAGAAGCCTCTTCTGCACAAATTCACCCTGGGCTTTTGCACTTTAAGGAATTCATTTTATTTTTGAAAAAGTGTTGTGTTGGCTCTTGCTTATAACTCAAGGACTTTGAGCCTCGGTCAGCCCTCAGAATTCAGTTCACAGCCTCCACTGGTTTTCTGCATTAGCTCATTTCAAATGGATCTTTGACATTTTAATTTCAAAAGAGGCAGATTGGTCTCATTAAACTAAGGAGAAAGGAGGATTATACAAATAAGGGAAAGACGGAGCCTAATTTTTAACCCTGAACTTCCCGTTTCCTTTCACTGCCTGGGCCTTAGTTCTGATTCTGGTTAATGGATGGCTTCACTACATTTCTGACGCTACCTTTGTCCTGTAATTTTTATGCGGTGGCATCATGCCAAACACCCTGATAACTTACATGTCTTCATATTAGCCCTACCGCAGCCTAAATGAAATATTGCGATTAAGAGAAATGCCCATTTCCAAACTATTACTCATTTCAATTATTCACTTTTGGAAGGAAAAAAAGAAAGCACTAGCCCCAAACTTCTCTGGGGGTCTACACATTCAACTTTATCTTCTTTTGTTTTTTATGTCTGAAAATCTGAAGATCAGGAAGCCTAGTTCCTTAAAGGCTACATTTTTGTCATTTCAAATGACACAAAAACGGGGCAAAGGATGGAAATCCTAGTTCAGGGAAGGAGTCACTGAAGCTCCTGATGCTGAGCTGTTGTAGTCACTTTCCAGCTGTGACTAGTTAGGGGGTGGACCCAGGTGTGGACGCACGTCCCCACTCCACCACCTCCCTGCAGGCTGGCAAGCCCCATGCGGACAAGAGTTCATGCATCAACTTCCTTAAAACAACTGCATGAAGGGGCTCCTGGGTGGCTCAGTTGGTTAAGCGACTGCCTTCGGCTCAGGTCATGGTCCCGGAGTCCTGGGATCGAGTCCCACATCGGACTCCCAGCTCGGCGGGGAGCCTGCTTCTCCCTCTGACCCTCTCCCCTTCATGCTCTCTCTGTCTCATTCCTTCTCTCTCAAATAAATAAATAAATAAAATCTTAAAAAAAAAAAAAAAAAAACAACTGCATGAAAGCATATGGCCAAAGAAAAGCGGGAGGAAAGAGAACACTGTGCCAGATGTCGCTTGCCAGACACAGGGACCAGATGCTGAGGGAAAAATGTGCTCATCCCTAAGGCACCGAAGGATGCCCCCCTCCCCACCTCAGTGACGGGAAAGCTCATGTCACTCGGGGCCACCAATGAGAAGCAAAGGAAGGGAGGTGGGAGCATCGTGATGATGCAACTTCCCAAGCCCTCACCCCAGGTACATTCCCAGGCCACAGCAAACCAAGCTGCACCGAGAGAGAGGTCTGTATGGACCAAAGGATGGCTGCTCACAATTAGGCAAGAGTTCTTGGGAATGTAGTGGGAGGGAAATGTTTTCTCTTAGTTCATCTCTTCTCTCCAGAAGCATCTCTTTATTATTCCCTTCCAACGCAGGAGGGGAAAAAAAGAATCCTAAGGGGCTTTAACTCTCTGGAGCTAAATATCTTTTTTGTCATTCCGTTGTCACAGAACAGTGGTCTTCTGAAATGAGAAACGAATAAGGAGTGGGGGTCAGCCGTGTCAGGCCAGGCCAGGTCATGGCCTTCCATGTGCCTCGCCTGTTTCCAGGGAGGGCCCTGGGCAGTGTTCTCCAGAGTGTGCCCCTGCCCACCCAAAGATGTTCTGTAAAGAAAGGGGGGGCGGGGCTTGGAGTCAAATAGGTTCGATAAGTTCTCTGTAGAACATTATCTTAGAAAAGCATTTTAGTATTAAAAGCACTGAGAAGGCTTTCAGTGAAGACACTCTTTCATTCTGGGAAACTGGCCGAAACAAGCTCACCAGTCAACCAACTCCTCTTTGTGGGGGATATTAATCAACATACTACAGACACACTCAGAAAGTTCCAACATGGAGCTTCTCAAGCTTGGCACTACTGCCATTTGGGGCCCAGTAATTCTCTGCTGTGGGGAACTGTCCTGTGCACTGTAGGATGTTGACCAGCATCCCTGGCCTCCACCCCCTGGGATGTGAACAACATCATCTCCTTGTTACGACAACCAAGAACATCTCCAGATATTTCTAAATGTCTTCTGGGGGACAAAATCACCCACAGTTAAGTCATTTCGGGTCCACTCCCCCTTAGGGAAAATGGTACTTTACTTCAGGCCTATACCCATCTCAATCTGTCTGAAACATCTCAAACCCAAGACCCGTTGTGAGCCCCAGGTCTCCCCTCTGCCAGGGATAACCTTCCTGTCGACGATGCCTTGTGTCACTGCCCTCCACAGCCACCAGTGCCTCAGCTCCCCCTGGACCTATGTTTTGGCAAGGTGTAGGGTGGCTTATGAGGGATCGAAGTTCCCACAGAGATGGTGCTCTGCAGAGAACCCAAAAGGGCAGCCAATGGGCTGCAGAGCACCAAGTCCAGAGCCTTCCCTGGCCTCCCCAGTGTTACCTCATTATGTTGGAGGCATCTTCAGCATCAGGGTCAGCGCAGTACTTGTTGGCAAGGATGAGGCACGCATCTGCTGACTCTATCTAAGACACCGAAAGGGAAATCACAGAACACAAACATATAAATAGCCACGCTTGGTTGCAGTCTTTCTCTGTTGACAGCTTTTGGGGAATCTGGTGCTTTGCAAGGAAAGAAAAAAAATAATCCTGAGAGATTATAGTTTTTGTCAGAAGTGTAGGTTGCAAGTTCTTGTTATGGTTAAACATTTCATCTTGTTGTTGTTCGAGGGTACAACATGTATCTTGGCAATGAAACTTTTCAATTTGCATAGTCACTTAGATGTAATCTTTCCAGATTTCTTTAAATAACAATTAATGAAGCCTTTCAGTCCCCTCCCTGCCTCCTTCCCCGAACAACGGATCTACCCCATCATCCTAAATTTTTTAGTCGGGAAATGGCGTTAGGTGAGCTAAACCCCTTCTCTGAGGTTACCAAGTTAACCGAATAGTCAGGGATTCAGAAGTTGAGACTCCAAAGTCCTTCATCTGACCTTTTTCACATCTTAACAGTGAAACAGAAGGAAATAAGAGCCCTAAATCAGATAACAGCTCAGTATTGTTTAGTATTCAATTAGCATTCAGATATTCGAAAGACAACAAATCTATGTGTATGAAATGATGTGTTACAGATGAACTCAAAACCTACTGACTTACCTCAACATGAGCCAAAATAAGATTTATGCCTTTGAGGGAATGATGAGTTATGTTAATAATTGCTTGCATCTAAATTAGGTCCTTGAACAGTAACTATTTTCTCCAAGTTCTCATTAGAGTTCACATTAGTCATAACTTGGGTCATGTCTGGATAATATTAAGAGTAACTGGACTCTATAAGCATAAGAATTCTCATGCTGGCTCAGGTCTGCAATCTGTCCCACTTGTTATGTTGTATTTAATAGACCATTCCCGCATTTTGGTGGGAGGCCATGGTTTCCTCCATGGTATGTCACAAATTGTCTCTAGTTTTCTTTAATAATCCAAAGAATTTACCCAGATCCTTCTGCTTATTCACGTTTGCCAATGACATTATTTACTAAATTAAGTAGTGACCACAGTTAACATTTAGATGTCAGTGGATTCACAATATTAATCTATACCCACTGCCATGCAAATATTGAACGTGCTTACAAAATCTATATAAAACGAGCAAAGTAGCAGATGCCACTTTGCTGTATCCTTTTCCTTTATAAGCCTCAGGTCTGCTTTATAAGAAGATTCTAACTTAGCAGATTTTGGAATGAAAGATTAGCCCTTTACCAAGTGATATCAGATATCTGCATGTTTAGTTTTGTGTTTTTAGTCTTTGGTAGTGGAAAAAAAAGGAAGCTCAAAATGTTTTATGGCCTAGTAGAATTTTATTTATACTTTATCCTTCATGTTCCTTTCCAATGTAAATAATAGATTTCAGAGCTACACTGAGTCCAATTTAAGTATTTAAGATGGGAATTACTCTATTATTATCTTGTATATGGGTCTCCTGAATCCGTACAACTGGTCTACTCCCTTGAGGAGTGCTGATCTTGAGGGAACCAGCAAAGTAACGTTCATTTTATGACTCGTCCAAGTGAGGGAAGTGGTCTAGCAAGTGCCAGTGGAACGAAGCTCTGGGACCAGTGGAAGGGTGATGTCAAGGCTGGTGGCATCTGACTTATCTCATTAGGGGTGTGGAGGTGACTCTTGGCCATCCTAGGAGGCATATACCCTCACCACAGAGACAATCTCCCTCTCAGATGGAGTAAAAGCGGAAGTCACCTCTTCCTTCTTACCTTGACTCTTGCAAGATCATGTGGATTGAGGACTGAACCCTGATAAAACTCCACCTGAGTAAAATGTCGTTTGAACAGAGCCTCAAGCTCCAGGTTAGGGGAAATGCTGGCAGGGAGAGAAGAAACAGCCATTAATAAAACAGACTCAGGTATTCCTGCTTCCATGGCCTTCTTTCTTTCTGACTTCCAAAGAGAAAGACCTAGGAAAAGGCTTTCACCTTCAAGGCAGCGCCCTTTCTTGCCAGAAATAAAAGGTTCACACTTGAGAGAAATAAAACCCCAGCCCCCTGAAAACCCAAACCAGTACTGAGGTAAAATAAAGAAGCTCACGGTCTTCACAAGTCTGAGGCCAATGAGGCGAAATGTCTTCAACTTTGTTAGGAATGGAATCTCTATTTTATGAATAGAGACTGAGCTGTGACATTAGAGATTAGCCAAAGGTGCCCCTGGCAGAGCCTCCTGCTGTTCCCTCCCTCAAAGCCTTTTCCCTGCTTCTCAGCCACATGGACTTCTCATGTCCCTGATCCCAGGGCCTGAATCAAAACATGTCACCTCTGAGCAGCCACAGACAAAGATAATTTACTCTTGGTACTGTTCTTGATTCACACATGCATACACTCCTCATCATTCTTAGTGCTGAGCTGTACAGACATCTTTCCCATTGGAGGACAAGGATTAAAACACTGATTGACCTATTCATCCATTTATTACTTCTGTAGAGATGAAAGATATCTACTCTCTATAGGTCTTAGGCTAGGTGCTGGGAGATGATATTTGGTTCGAACCTACTAGGTACCAAGAACTGTGTTAGTCAATGCTTGCCTAACATTCATTAAGTGCTTAGTATGAATTGTTAATGTTTTCCAGAACTTATTATGTGGCAGACACCATTCCACGCACTTGACAAGTATTAACTCATTTAAACCTCAAAACAACCCTGGAGGAAGGGATGTTATTAACCCAAAGCCTCAAGAGGTTAATTAACTGGGCCATCTACTACAGTGCTGACACTGACAGATGCTGGGGACACGAAGGTGAATCCCAGCAAGTGAAGCATTAGCCGCCAGCTTGTTGATCAGGCTCAAGCAGTGGGTGAGAGAGAAACAGAGCCTGTGCAAATCCGACCAGTCTTTGAGATCCATTACTGGTCAGGCCCCTCTTGGGAAGTCTGCCTGGTCATGCAAGAAATGGTGGTCTCTCCCTGACACAAATGCCCAGTGCAATTCTACCTCTTGACTAAACCGACTTCAGTCAGTGAATATAGGTTAGATGTTGAGCTCTAATTGTTGCACACGTGCTCATCTTGAAATGCCCAACCAATGTGAGGGCAGAACCTACGCATGCTACTTCTCTTGAACCTTCCATAATGCTCTGCAGAGGACGGGCCCCTCGGCTGGTAATGAGAGGCTAAGCACTGAATTGTATCTGTGAGTTCTGCTCCTGTGCTGATGGCCTGGCTGGTCTTTTCAGAACTTGGAGAATTCAGTGCTGAGAAGCAAAATGCTGGCGCTCAGACATGGTGGTCATTTTGGTACTCTAGGAACAAATGTCAAAAGGAAGGAGATGCACAGAACAGAAGCTTATAGGGAAGTCAATTTCCATGGGATCTTGGAGCAGGATTGAGGCCTGGGCCGTCAACCCCCTATGGAGCCAACACCAACTCATAAGCTTTGTCCCTTGGTAACTTGGGGCTGGTGCTGGCCCTATGGTGGCCTCATTTCCAACACAAAAGAAGACAGTGCCACCCAAGTCAACATGCCTGAGTCCCTAGACTCTCTATCCCTGTGGCAGACTAACTTTTACCTAAAAGGGGATCAGACGAAGCTTAAAATCCCAACAACATTGAGCAGATGGAGAGGTCTTGCTTTCGTCAACTATACAACAAACATAGTAAGATCTATCTTCTAAGTTGCTTGTCAACCTAATATATTTTATCTTTCACAATAGCTAACATTTATTGAGCACTTACTGTGTGCCTGATTCTGCTCTGTATACTTTACATGCATTATTTCTTTTCATTCCCCCTACGTGGTAGAATGAAACCATTGTGATCTCCCTATCTTATGAATGTGAAAACTAGGGCCCAGGGAGGCTAAATAACTTCTTCGGCAAGAGTCATATGGAATACTCGTACTTTGACTCCCTGTGTTGACGAAAGGAGGGATCGTATGTCCGGGGACCAGCACAGGTTCCTATACTGAGGTTTCTAGAAATGGCAATTGTTGTTGCAGCTGTGGTTAGTACTTTATACCCTGCTTCCTCTTACGTTTACGTCTTGCGTGGCCACTCTGTCGCTCCTGCCCTTGTAAAGAATCCACATCAGACAGCTAATCATTCCACACCAGACACTGTGGACACACCTGGATCGAATCAATCCAGACAGCTGATGGGACAGTAATGATGCGTTTGACCCATAACGAACTTCACTCTTACTTGCCAGAATTGCCTCCACAGAAGCAGGTGCCGTTCTTACCATGGACTAACGGGTTGGTTCCCTTTCCATTGGCTCCATATTATCCTCTCCAAGGAGGCCACCTGGGGCCATGGCCAATTCAACTCTGCACTGCCCCCCACACGGCCCCCCACACCACCACTCCCACAGGCACTCAGGGAGTCCTCCTCAGGGTGCCTGGTTGGGTGGAGGGTCTCGAAACAGCAGGGGCCCCTTACTTGTGAAGAAAGACGATCTCCACATTGACATCATCCCGGTCCTTGTGCAGGAAATCCTTCAGGAAGTTGGAAACACTCTCCAGAGTGATGTGTCCGCAGACCACAATGTGCCTGAACAGGAGAAGCCAGTTAGATGGGGCCAGCCCTGCGCTGACCCGGCACCCACCCCGGGCAAGACAGAGGAAGCGCACAGCTGCAGGGAAGCGTTCATCTCCTCCCGAGGCCTCAGTTAAAGCCCAGCTCCCATCCCCAGAGGGCCGTGAGGCAAAGCAGCGGTGCTGGCAGGTGCTCAGAGACTCCTCGGCAGAAAAGGCATATGGCTTCTCACCTGATGCTGCACAAAATCCTATTAAAAGCCCAACCGTTTGGCCAAGTGGTTTTATGCATTGAACAATAAGTGACATTATGCTTGTGCTTAAATGCTGCATTATCAAGTCCCTTGCAGATTCATATCTTTCCCTTTCTGCCCACAAAGCGTACTCTTGAGAGATTTACCGAATGAGTCTTGGTTTATGACATAGAGCTTATCAGGTAATGAGATAACAAATCTTGCTGAAACGATGATTTTGTGTGTAAGAAAGCAGACTTTTATCAGGGTGGCTAATGTGCGGCTTGACACGTTATGGGCTCTGCCGGCCATAAGCAGTAAAAAGGAAATTTTGCATTTTTCCGCCATAACTCCTCTGACAATGGGGGCATGTAACACTTTACAGTAAGTGAGCATTAGTCAGGGCTAAATGGGGATGGGACGCCTATGGAATCGGAGATCATGCTGCAGGCTGTGCATCCCCAGGTAGCTGTTTCCCTAGGGTGCCCGGGATTTCCACGAGAGCCAAAGCATTTTACTTCAAGATGGGGAGAAGCTAGAAAGGGAAGAGGCTGGAATGGTTTGCCTTGATCCAGTGAGGTTTGGACTTCTGCTTCTGGAGATGGTGGCTTCCCCTGAGGAGATGAGCCTCTTTTCCAGAACTGCTGGGACAACCATCCCCCCGACATCTTTGGGCTCCTGGACCCATCTGATAAATCTGAACCAATCTGGCTACCCTGTGGCCATTGACATTTGCTATCTGATGCTCCATCAGGACTAAGCCCTTTGGTGCAAGGGTTAGCCCCACGACCCAAAGCCAGGGCCTGACTGTGGAGAGGAAACCTGCTGGCTTCTAAAGGAAGACAGTAGCAAGGGGCTCAGCCCAGGTCCCTGTGCCTCTCGGGCTGCTAGGGAAAGAGGCTGAATCCCTGGCCGGGCTCTGAGGCATGGGCAGGTGGCGAACACTGAAGCACGGTAATTTCGTGGGAAAAAATTTAGAACGGCTAGGCCCCTTGCACCTCATAATTGCTCGGTGCACATTCCAATAAGGTAGAAACCTCATTGGCTGGAGGCAGCTCATAATGGGAGGAAGTGATGATCACTTACGCAATGTTCCATTAGATGCCATTACAAGAGCCTGCCCTTTCGTTGTAATTTGGTGCTTGACTAAGTATGTGAGAATAAGGCAGTAAACTCATTGGTGAAAGGATAATGATGCAGAACAAAGAGTAAATCAATAATATGCACGATGCAGTTAATAATATCACCATTATGGACTGTTATTGTTATGGTGCCGCACTCGGTGGCCGGGCAAGCGAAGGCCGTCGCGGGGAGGAAAGACTGTCCGTGGGCTGCCTCAGAAGAGACGTTCCAACACGATCACTTTGTTCTCTAGCCAGTACCGGCCAGGTTCAGGGAGGTCCCTTGGCCACCCATCCAAATGCCCCAAACCCACATAACTAACTCCCTCCCGAAATACACCCTGTGTCAGAACACGGGATGTGAACAGAACACTTGGATTACACACATTTTTATCCTGTCATCTCTTAAAATATTTCTTGTAGCACATGTGCACTTACATGGACAAAACAGGCTACAAATGAACTTGCATGTTTTGCATAAGATTTCTGATTCTGAATTTGCCAGGTGTGTGCAGAAAGTGACCCGAGATGCAGGATTCCCTCCTGATCTGACATCTAGGTCTGCATGGGGGCAATTCTAATCCCTTCTGCCCACAGACTCCCATGACTGCGAACAAGGCCAGCGTGAATCGATGTATGGGCACCTCCACAGGACAGATATGGGGTTGGGGCCCTCCCCCTCACCTGGATGTGAGAATAAGCCAGACTGGATCCCTTGCCCTGCCACCAAGGATGTGTGTGACCCTGGGCAAGCTCCTTATTCCCATTCAATAGATGAGAGAGCTGAGAGGTTAATGCCACCCAGCCAGGGTGAGCTGAGCTAACACAGGGCTCAAAGTTCTATACCAGTAGAAGCCTGGTGATTACTCAAAGCTGGACTCGAATCAATGATAGGTCCGGGTAAATGCCTGAACATTCATCCTTCCCATCCTGTGTGCAAAGGACTGAATGAACATCTGCCAGCATCCCTCTCCCTGTTCTGAAATCATTCATCTCCAGGACAGATGTGTGAGAAGTGGAAGGGAAGGAGATGAGTTCACCCTCTCACCCTTGAATCAAAGGCCCCACCAGCTGATTTATTCAGCCTTAGAAAAAGTCAGGGTTCTCCTAGTTGAAAATGTGCTGGGTACATATAAAATATATTCCAGTGCAATCAATATTATCCCTTAAGCCTTTAATTAGCTTTCACTTCTCTTAAGAAGTAGACAAATGCAGGCAGGAGAGGAGAGAAAAAAAGGATTGACTTTTCTCATTTGATGCTAGCTGTCCAATACCATTCTAGACAATTGAGAATATATATCTTTTAGCTACAGCATGATTTCTGGGGTGGAGAGCAGCCTTTATCAAAAAGGAAGAAAAAAAATCTTCCTTCAACATAATTGGTATTTCTGCTCAGGAAAAGCGAGATTGATTGAAAGCAGATTGCCTTTTTGCCCAAGGAGAGTTATTAGGTACATTATCATGGCAACCTTGGAGAACCCATATTGTTCCAATCTGTCCTATATCTGATTTGAAGATTTATGACTTCCCCCCTTTGTGCCAATAATCATTTCCCTCCATTTTGTTTTCCATACAGTGGAAGTTATCAAGAAGCCCACATATTGAACATGTTTGAATGCAGTTAGAGTTGATGGATGGGGAGAAGTCACCTCTCTAACTCAGCATCTGCATTAGAAGATCAGCTCCCACGAGCCTGTGTCTGAGGGAGCATGGGGGGCCCTGCAGGAGCACAAGGGATGGATGGTGGAAAGGGAAAATTTACTTTCCAGAAATATTATCAAGACTTTTGAAAATTCCAGGGACTGTAGTTGGGGGAAGGGTGTTATTGCAGGGAGAAGAGAAGCAGAATTTGTTGTATCCTCGATGATTGAAAATACAACTGAAAATATTCTAAGACTGGGAGCTGGGTGTGCTCTCCTTGGATACAGAGTGATGGTTATTCACGGTGCATGATTTAAAGGATGCCAAAAAGATCCTCATCCAAAATTATCTCTGCCAGATTCCATGACACCTACAAATCTACTATGTGAGATTTGTACTTTGATAGCCCTGTGTTAGCTCAGCTCAGACATTAAATAACTAAATAGTCTTAGGCAAGGTACCAATTCTGCATTTTACCACTATAAAGTCAGAGTCTTGGAGGGGCTGGAGCTCGTACCTGATTCATGAGGTTATCTTGAGGATTTATTTAAATAGATAATACATGTGAAGGGCCTAGTAAAGGGTCTGGGTCATTGCAAGCATTATTAAATGGTAGGATTCATGTGATATCTATAAATCAGTAGGTAACAGATGTAAAGTGCTCTAGGGCCCCTGGAATCTCACCTAATCCTCAAACAACCCTATGTTCCTACAATCTGCATCTTTGCAGATAACCTCTCTTAACCTCAATTTCCTTAAGTCGCATGCCTGACATCCCACAGCAAGAAAGTGACTTGCCCAGGATGTGACCCAGGTCCGCAGCTCTAACGCTCACTAAGATGAAGGTGTTGGGGTGCAGAGAGCATGGGCTGGAGTATTTCAGCTTCTGCTCCTTGATGACAGGCAGGGCTCAGCCAGCAGGATGTCCTCCTGGTCACACAGTGGAGGGAATGCTGGAGGGGTTCTCACTGGGCCAGGAGAGAGGCTTAGCCTGGGGACTGGGATGGAAAGAGATGATTCTCACTTAAAACATCCCAATGTTGCAGCATCACTAGATGCTGGCTGCATGTGGTCAAGGCAACAAAGGCTGAGGGATGGCAGAAACTCTAAACCAAGTCTTTTACACTGAAGCCACACAATTTGGCAAGCCGAGGGATGGCAAAGTGATGCAGATATCCATTTTAGACATCATATGTTACGTCCAGCCCCGGATGCCTCACCAGCCTAAGGATCCCAAAGATAAATGATCCATTTACGGTGGAGAATATTTAGGAAAGTTACGCTATGACAGTAACTAACACTGTTCCCAATGTGGCTTTGGATTTGAGCTTCTTTAAATGATTGGCATTCTTAATGATGGATTTCTATAGGGCCTGGCCATGTGGTTTGTGAAGATGGCCAACAAACCTACATCAATAACCATTTCTGATCTGATGGGACTTCTTTGTTTTTAAAATTTTGTCAAGTTCTGTAAACAAATCTTTCTTGGGCTAAACTAATGTTAATGGCTGGATTAAAAGATTCCTCTCAGATGCATGAAGAAGCATGTTAAATGCTAGAATAGTAGCAGATGACATTTTGTGTAAAGGAGCTAGTCATCCAGTGTAAGCAAATTCGCCTGGTCTGGGGGCAGGGCTCCATAAATACAGGCTGAACTGAATTAGGGGGTAACACTCGTGTGTCATGGAGCAAACATGGCGTCAGTAGATGAGTGTGACAACCACAATAAGAATAATGCTTGACTATTACAAACTCTATCAGGGTTCACCAAACTACCGAGTGTTTTTTTCATGAGTACATCTTCACTAAATGAATATGGGTGTGCCTCTCCCAACATTAAGCATCTCCACCCCCAGAATCAAATCCCACGAATTCTCCTCAATCAGTCTACTTCCTTCCTGGAGATGGCGGAGGGAAGCCAGGATGCCCCAGTTGAGTTGGGACCTGTTTCAGAGCTCAGTTCCATTGGTGCCTTTCAGAATGGGCAACTTAGGGGAGGTGACCTAGGGCAGGAGGCATAAGAGGAGGATGCCAAGGGGGGCCCAAGCCCTTCAAGGCTCCAGGGAATGAGGCCTCCAGAGACCCACTGAAGCTGAGTTGAGCTAAATGAGAACTAAAACCTACACACTTTTAAGAAGACTCGGGTAGTGTTGCTTAGAGCCAGTAGCCTTGAAAAAGGGAACCATGACAGGGATGGGCTCCACTCCATAGACTCATGTTCATCTTAGTATCAGAATGGCCCTTTGGGAATGTTTAGTCTAGTGCCTGCATCATTATTTTAATGTGGAAACTGAGGCCCAGAGATTTAGTACACAGTGAATGGCAGAGCAAGAGCCACCCTACCCCCTCGCTCTGATGCCTTCTAGAGAGAGGGAAGGCTGATGCTGCTGAAAGGACCTGAGCTGGGAATCAGGAGACTGGGGCCAGTCACTACAAAATGAAGGGGTCCAGACAGAGTGGGCTGCACCCACAGACACTGATGGATTCCCCCCGCCCCGAGTTCTAGCTCTCTGCCACTTCTAGTTTATGCCACCAGCATATCTTGTCTAGACGTCTGCAATACTTCCTAATTCAGTTGCCTGCTCACTCTCCCCGCCACCCCCACCCCCTCGAAACAGCCAAAGAGCAGGACTGAGGCAAATCCGACTGCATCAGTTTCCCCCTCGGGGCAGGGAGGTCTCAGATCTCTCTTTAGCAGAGCCTCATTCTAGGAAGACAATGTAAAATGCACAGCTCTGGGCTGTTTATTTTTAAAGATACTATATCCATTTTTACTGGAACAAGTATAAAGAACTTAAAAAACCCATAGCTATCCTGTCACAATAAATCACACAGAGTAAATTGAAAATCCTATACAGCTTTCCCTGAATACATTGTGCTCACTTTGTCAGAGAGGTAGATGAAACGTGGCATATATTGATCTAGATGTCTCTGTAAAACTATAATATTTATATCAAATACATATGCTAGAATCTCTTCTGTCTTTCTGCTGAGACTTCTAATCATGCTCTTTCCATCCCATCTCCCCCTAGCCCACCCCCCCCAACCATTGGTAGCCACCAGCTTAATGGGAATGAATTTTAAAAAGGACTTGTCAAGGGAATTCAGCAGCATTTTATCATACAGAAAGCAGGGTAGGGGTGGCGAGAGACCTTACAAACCCAAATCACACAGTGGTCAGTACTCCAAGTTCATGTTGTCCCTCCAAGGTTGAATTTGAACCATTCAGTGTCCACATAACTATTTCTCCAAGAGTCTCAAACAAGCTGAGGTTTTGGCAGATTCTGGGCTTGACATTCCATTATCACTGGTGGTGCTTTCTTTGGCTGTTTTATCACACAGCTTT